TCTTGAACTTCAAGCTGCTTTGACACACCACAAAGAAGCTCTGCCCTGTGGATGCCAGGGCCCGAGCCTGTGGGCTCTGCCACTGCCATGCTGGGAGAGTGGAGGGGCCATCTTAGGATCCCCAAGCCTTACCGTGTTTAAGAGGCATTTGGACAATGCCCTTGACAGCATGCTTTAGCTTTTGTGCAGCCCTGCATTGGTCAGGCAGTTGGAGGTGACAGCTGTAGGTCCCTTGCAGCTGAAATAGTATCYTTGCGAGGAATCAGGGCAGTGACTGAGCAATTAAGATGGACAAGAACTGTATTGGCAGAACTTCTGTGCACTACAAAGCCTATGTAACAGTGCTGGACACTTAATAAACATTTAAAATACACATGGCAAGCTTGACTGAGAAGCCAGAAACTGCAGTTCTAAAGGCGGTGGAGAAGAGAGCAAAAATTTTGGCTTACAGTGCTGCTGAGTTCCCTGGAAAGCAAGAGCATTGAGGCATTACACAAGAGGTAGGCTTTATTTGGACATACCTGCAGTTGTTCTCTGTCACATGGTTTTCTTCATGTTCCTGGATATTACTCTCTCTCCCCATTTGAGATTATTTAAATATGTGTATATATATATGTGTGTGTGTGTGTGCGTGTGTGAGTGTGTATGAATATATGTATAGACATGCACACCTAATTCATACTTTGAAATGCACTGTTCTTTTTGCTGAAAATTTTTAGTAATGTTCTTTTTTCACAATCAAGACAGCAAAATAAATGCCAAAACCTGTTTCTGCAGTAACATGTTACAAGGCATTCTTTGAAGTCTCCCATATACAAAGAATTGGCAGAGCTGCCATTCTGCATCTCAAGGCTGCAGGGTGCGTTACAAAAAGGTTGTGTTGGCTGGAACACAAGGCTGTYGTGTGATGACAGGAGACTGCCTCCAGGTATTCCTGGCAGCTGKATGGTTTGACCTCTCTGCCATTCCCTGGGAGCAGCCAACCTGTACTTGCTGAGCAAGTCTCAGTGGAGCACATGTTCCACCCATCTCCAAGGTGAGATTGTAAATGCATTTCTAGTTTTAGTGAAAGAGATYCATAACCACTACTGGGCTGTAATACAAGAACTTAGCTAATCAGCAGATAACAATTGCTTCCAAATGCATACTGTATTCTCAGAAAACAGTTCAAGCCTGATTTGAATCTCCTGATTGCAGTTGGGGAGCCCTTTACCTTGCATTCCCAACACAGTTTAAATCTGCATGGCGTGGTAATAGACCTGTTTAAAGTTGCTTTCCTATGCTTTCTACCTACAGCTTGTTTGACTATTTGTGATTTTTCTTGTTGGGCCTGCTGGCTTTACCAAACCAACAAAAGTCTCAGTGACACTGCACGAAGTTGCTGTGACTGACCTGGTGTACACTGAAAGGAAATGTGATAGAAAATCACAGAAAATCCTCATTGCTTTGAGTGCTCTCAAAGTGGACCGAAATGTCCTTGCTGTCTCAGAAGACTAGGGTTAGGTCAGCAAATTAAAATAATGAGGTAGAGTTTTTTACACTTTTTGCAGTGAAAATGGTCATTCCTGCTTTGCTGCAGTCATTCCTGGGGATGTGACTGATTTATGTGTCACATTGTGGCTGTAGGATATGCTTGGTCAGAGCCGAGTCTCTCTGGCTGTCAGTGTTCTGGCTTGGCTTCACATGTTCTGCTGCTACTGCCTCTGGGAACTCACCTGTCTCACGAGGGATCTGCCCTGGGGACTCATATGATTTCAGTATTTGCAGTACCTGAGGAGCCACAGTGTCTCGTGCCTGGCTGAGGGACTGTCAGAGCCTCATCTGCCTGCACAGCTTCACCTGGTAGGGCTTGGTTTTCTTCTGTTTTGATGCCRAATTAGAGCATCTGGCCAAACACAGACTGTGTTGTCTAAGAGTCTTGCAATTCTCACATACTGCCTGACTAAACTACCTACAAATCAGTTCTAAAAGGTACACTGTGATCTACGAAACAGCCAGCATCCTGTGATACAGCTCCCACCTACTGGATTTTTTTAAGGCTTTCTCAGTTAACAGATGCTTCCTATTTGAGCTTATGGATGCTCCTGGATGTGGCAGTCAAATCATGAACCCACAGTGAGAAATGCTCCTTTYGGTGCAGGTATTTCCATGTTCTGCTGCTGATTCTCACCAAAGATGCTCTGTAAATGCTGTCAGCAGGCTCAGGGGGTTCTGGAGCAGGGCTCTTGCTCCTTCCTTTGAAGCTGGGTTGYTCTGTGTGGAGCCAACCCTTGTCAGGCCTGAGTGCATCTGTGCTTGAGTCTCTCCCAGCTGCTGCTTTATTCATATTTTTATCCAAGCACTGCGTGGAGCAGAGACAAATTCAGGTTCCATCCTCCCTTTCCCTATTCATTGGCTATATCCCCTGTGGTCTTCCCAGGTGGCTGAATATTCCACCCTGTAAGCTGCAGGAAAATAACCTCATTAGRAGGAACTGAGCCACCTACCCTGATTACAGCAATTACCAATGAAGTGCAAATTAAGGGTCAAGTCCCCCTTAACAAAGGCAGGAACCTAAGACAGAGATTCCTAGTAAAAGGTCACAGCCACCCACTCTGCTAGAGRTGAATGAGGAGCTGTCCCTGAAAGGTCTAGAGCTATCCTCAAAATAAACTGCTGGGATTGTGCCCTGCTGTGACACAGTTTAGGGAATGCTCTATAGCAGCATACAAATACCAGTTATGCTGCACTTATGGCTTAAATTATCCCAGCAYGGGCAGCAGCAGATCCTGGCCCTAAAGGGAAATTTCCTGGTAGAAGATGCCCCTGTCCCATTAGCAGAGCTGGGCTTGTGAAGGTTTATGGGTTGGATTTAGAAATCTCCTGAAGCAGTTAGGAAATAATTACATGATTTATACAACTTTTGCAACTCTTAGCACTAAACTTGCACTGCTGATTCTAAAAAATTTCTCACTTGGAGGGAGGTGGAACAAAAAGGTTGCGTTTGCCAGCTAGGTCTCCCTAAGCACTCAGCTCATTTTGTTTGTTTCCATGAGTCATTTTTAGAACAGGCAACAATAATCTTGARTCACACACAGTCTGGAGCCAGCTTCTTAGAGAACACAGCTTTCTTGAGAAGAGTGAAAAATATCCTGAAAAGAGAAGTGCTTCTCTGGCTTTTGTACGTAACAAGAAATTATGGGAAGTTTGTTGTTTTTTTGGTTTTTTTTTTAAGAAAGGGTATGATATGCTTGGTCTTTTAAAACACAGAAAACCCCTTCTGTCTGCCCCTACAATTTTGAGACTTAGGCATGGGACAGAAAGCACAAATGAAAGCTAAGCCGCCCTTGAACAAGCGTGYAGTTGCTCACTGCATGAAAATGCACAGGTCAAGAAAAACATGCAAGGAAATGAGATGGAGGTGGCTCCTTCTATCAGGCTGAGAAGTGCAAGTTCCCTGTACATCTCTGGCTAGTGACTAAAAGCTGCTCTGACAGAAACAACCTTCCTGCTAGGAATGCAGCCAGCTCTAGCTTCTGCTTATCTCTAACACCGTCATTTCTGGAAATCAGGTGCCAAGAGATCTTGCCAAACCAGGTGCTTTAAAACTCCACTCACAGTTTCCTTCCTGTGCTCACAACTCCCCTGGTGTAACCTTAGCTGCACGAGGACTGACTCAGAGGTCCTCTGTGGACAGAAAGTTTTTTTCTGCCTGCTTTTCTTAAAAGCAGTTCAGCTTCCAGGATAGTTTGTTGTGGGAAGGCCCCATCTCATCTCCTAGAAACACAGTTATTAGGGAGCATCTGTTCCAAAACTAAGTAACAAAAGCACAAATCTTCATCTGATCTCCTCAGATGGGTAGGGCTTCAGCTAAATACACTGGGCTGTTTCACAGCACAGGGAGTTCTTCCCTCACCTCAAAAAATTGTTTGTTCTGAGGCTATAAACAGCTGTTCCACATTTGTAAAAAGGAAAATACACTACACAAACCACTATGATAAATACAACTCTGTGTGGCATGAACAGACCATTAAAAAGATCAGCTGATATAAAGAATGTATAGGTGAATGTATGTACATGTGWAAAATGAATGTACAGTCCTGCTCTCAGTAAAACAGCTGGAATTTTTTTCAGCCACAAAAGCAATCAACATGTTAACTCCTAAGAATCAATGCATCATTTTTATTATCTCCACTGAGAAGTGGCTAGTATAAGAAATAAAATACTTCTGCCTCAAATGTGTTTATCTGTTTAAGCTAAAAAGTTGCTTTATCTATATAAACAGATTCTGAGTGTTAAAACAGACCTCACTCAAAAGCACCAGTGCAGGAGGCTGTCACAACGACAACTCTGACAGAGGGCTGGTTTGTGCATTTGACAATATTGACTATTATTGACAATATTGACTAATAAGACTATTTTACTTTATCAACCATTTTTTTTCTCCCTGATTTTTCTTCTACAATGCACCGAAGACAAAAACTTCCCTGTTAATGCAAGTACTGCCAGAGTGCCAGAAACAAACCCTATGAATTTTTTTCAATTTTTCAAAATCACCATTTATCTAGCTAAGCAAAGATTATTCTGATTTTTCTGACCTGATTAATTCATTTCCAGCAGTAAGCTTTAATCTCAAACACATCATGAATAATCAAACATCATTTTTACTCTATAAGTAGACAATAACTGTTCTAAATCTTTCAGTAGTAGCAACTGCACCTCACACTCCCATGTGCCCAGTGGAAAGCTCAGGCAAGTTTCTCCCTGTGCTGCTGCTTCCATCTGACTGCAATGAATCCTGTCTCCTAGCATTGTGTTTGGCCCTTAAAGGAAAAAAAAAAAAAAACTGATGCAGATGAAAATCATTTTGCTTTCCACCATCGTGGTGGTTTGCAATTGCACAGAATAAACTGATTATGCCAACGCAAATTATAAAATATTTAAAGGAACAAAAAGTCATCAACCGTGTCTATTACGATTTCATTTTCTTTTCATTTCATTTCATTCTTCTTAAAGCCCTGCTTTACTGAAAACATGAAAATAGCTGACCACAACTGTAAACTTGAGCRAAGATGTAAACTTTGATACACTAGGGACAATTTGAAAAACTAGGGAAAAGACTGCAAGGACAATTTTAATAGGGAATAGCAAGAGCTCAGTGGAGAATTATCTGTTGAGAACATACTTGTTGTCTAAACAGTTGTTCTGCTTGTACAGGTGAACGAGGGCTTGGGAAGGAGCTCATTTAGCTACAGAAACACGTCCTTTGTAGCTACCTCTGGGAACAAGGGACAAGGAAAAGGCTTCYGTATAGACTATAAACCCATCACTGAAATCAAATATATAAACTGAATATATTAAAGCTTTGAATTTTATTACACTTAATTTCTTCTGAATATCTTACCCTTCTCCCCTGTTCAAGGTAAACCTAAACGTGAGAAATGGACGGATAAAGGAGAACTCCACTAAACGTGGAGTACATTTCGTCAGAGTCTGTGTAGGCCAGCTTGCCTCCCGTTACGACGACGTTTACTTCATCTCCTGCTTTGAGGTGAAGAACAAGGTGGAACGTCCCAGGCCCACCACAGGTCTGTTTGCCTGAATAGGGTTTGTGATACTCCAGCAGTTCCCTTCTGTAGCCAGCGGTGTGCAGCTGAGCCACGCTGGCGTTGGACACGGACAGCACGGCTTCCACGTACTCATCCCTCTCCGGGGCCAGCACGGCCGTGATCAGGTAGCGCCCTTCGTAGGGGGATGTGAAAATGCCTGTGGGAGAGAGGCAGGCTGGGCTTACCTGGGTTATTCAGAATGGGGACACCTGACTGCTCCAAGCACCGTGACAACACAAAGCCACACGGGTCACCCTCGCACAGGGGGCTGCGAGAAGGTCAGCGTGGGCAGGTGGCAAACTGATGGAAGCCATGAAGGCAAAGGCAACACCTCAGAGCTGGAGAAGGARGCAACTCCCAGTTAGGGCCCTTGAGGGGCAGCAGGAGCCACCTTCCTCCTCTGCTGCAGGCAACCCAGCCACGGTGGAGTGGATCAGTGAGGAACTCACCTCTGCTACCCAGGCTGAGGAGCACAACCTGTGCCGGCAGGGCAGCCACCGTGCTCAGCTGGCCCTCAGCAGGGCTGAGGAAAACCAGCCATGGCAAAGAGTGTGCCTGTCCACATCCACAGGGAGATTTTGCCCCGGTGTGTCTGGTTTAGACATACTTTCTTTGCTCCATGAGCCAGCGAGGCCTGGGATGACATGGAAYGCTGGCACCCCATGCTGTGGCCTGTCAGCACCCCGCAGGCCGTTCTTTGCCATTACCTGTGCTGGGGTTGTAATAGTCCCCATCATTGACGAGCACTTTGTTGAAGTGAACCACGCCGACATCGCTGGAGAATGGCTTCTGTGTGAGCCCAGCCGAAAATGACACCAGAGAGGGCGTGGCAGCAGCGGCAGGTCCTGGAATGGGAAACAACATGTCACGGTGACAACACAGCCTTTTCCCTGTGACACTTTATAATCCAATGTCTCTGTTTTGCACATCCTCCACTTGGACTAGTTCTGCCAGTTGAGGGCTGCCAGAATTAGCAGAATACGTATTGCTGGCCCAGGTGTCTCACCATAAAATTTACTGAGCACCATAAAGTTCCTGCCTTGGCCACAGCCGTTTTTTCCCCCTCTAAGGAAACACTATATGGCTTGTAAATGCTGGCAAGGGAAATCCTACTGCCTTTCAAKTCAATAATGCTTCTGCCAAAGACCTTCTTCAGGACTGAGGCTGCYTTTCAACATCTCCACTCTCCATGACTATTACAATGTCCATAGCAGTGCTAAAGATTATAGTTCCTGTCAGTTTTCCTCATCATGTTGAGAAACTGTGCACAGCTTAGACCACCCAACTTCTCTGCCAAAGCACAGTGAAAATAGCTATAAGAATATGTAACACTTCAGTATTAGTGCAAAGAGAAACTTTTGTCACTCTCCAGACTTCTCTTTTGGGGGACTTTCACAATTTTTTCTTTTTTTCTCAGCAGATCAAACAGACACTTAGGTATTTTATACTGGCTATCCAATTACTAGATAAACACCRTTAGACTGGGCTGGATGAAATATAATTTGGACAATTAAAACAAATTTTTACTTTAACAGACTGACTTAATGGCAAGTGTTCAGTGCTCAACCACTTGTCAGCCCCATTTTAGTTACCTTCCCTTTAAACATTTTCCTCAAGGCAGTACACACTGCTAGAAGTAGTTAGCTCTTGCTGCTTTGTCTGGGCAAGTAGCTAAACAACAAATGCCCTGAAGYTGTCCAGAGCTGCTGTTTCTACCTTCCTTAAAATTAAAGTTTGGCCTCTTCCTCTCAATCAGAGATGCCCATCAGCAACAAATGCTCAATTCATCAAATCATTGAATATCCTGAATTGAAAGGGACCCACAAGGATCATCCAAGTTCAACTCCTGGCCCTGCACAGGACACCCCAACAATCACACCTTGTGCYTGAGGGCAYTCTCCAAACACATCTTGAGCTCTGTCAGCAGTGCCTTTCCAGAACCAATCTAATCCAGATGATATTTCTTACAAGTTGAAGTTTAGTAAGTCACAAAACTTAACCTAAAATGTGGATATACGAACATTCTACTATCCATTGCTTTTCTGAATAACTCAGCTGGGGGGGATGGGGGGTGGGAGAAGAAAGCAAAGGGGAAGACATGCCTGCAAGTTCAGAATTGGCAAATAATGATGTTAATTTCCCACAGGGGCTGGTAACCAGCTGCCTCATGTATCTTTGGAAATCTTCTCAGTCAGCWTTTTGTCTCATGCTCAGAAGATAGACAGAAGCCCTTTTTCATTTCTCCTATCTGCCAGTGTGCCTGCAGGTGCTCCTGTAAGCTAAGATGAGGTTATTTGAAATGACCAAAATTAACTGCAGAAAGTTTGCTTACTTAAACAGCCACTGTACAGCTCCAGCACCTTAACACAACTCTACTTRCAGAAGGCAACTCTCAGCTTACCTTGAGACTCAAACTAACTGAAAACACACCTCAACTTGTTGGCTCGCTCAGGTTTCTGTCCCCTGCAGTCACACTGCACAAATGGAACAAACCCTGTGTTGCCTGCCCAGAAACACTGCCAGCTTTGGAGAAGCTGCATTCCTGTTTGGGTTGGTGTCACCTGAAGAGGGGAGAGACTCCTGCCCTGGCCCTTCACAGCTTCCTTCAAGATTTTCCTTCACTAATTGCTGRAATAGTTATTAGAAATAACTATTTCTTGCTATGCTGATGACATTGCTTCAGATATGCAGCCTAGTTTAGTACACCATATGCATCTATTCAAAGGAAAACCTTAAACCTGTCTAAATATCCTGCAGATCAGTTCAGGGGTCGATACAAGGAGGCACAGYAAAGATGCAGTGTGTCTGTTCTGTCTTCCTGGCTTCCGGCTGAATTTGTGCCAGTTTGAAGATTTCACCATTGCTACCAACAGCTCAGCAGTGCTTTTGCAGAAGATTACAGAGTGCTGCACCACCTTCTCCTACATGTCCCCTCTGGCAAATGCTTGTTCTTCAGCTTCTCAAAGGAAGGTCCAGGCTTGGACACTTTAAGCAGTCATTTAAGCGGTCAGTATTGTGGAAGTCCAAATACCAGGAAAAAAAAAAATAAAGCATTTAAAAGCTGTGAACCACRGGCACAGCTCTGATGGAGAGACTGCTGGAAACAGACAAAAAATTTCAGAAAAGATTCAACCACAGTTTTCCTCCCCCTTTCGGGGGAAGAAAAAGCTGTTGTGACCCCAGATGCATTCAAGAAAGTTTCACTTGAGATWCACATACATATAAGCAGGAGCAGGTATGTCTGTTCCTGGCAATCCAAGCTGCTCTAACACATTCTGGGGAGTCAAAAGACCACAGAGGTTGCATGGGTGGCCCTTGTTGGGTGTCTACTTCCAYCCATCTGCTAGTTACGATTCTGGTTCTCCACCTCTCTTTTGATTTCCAAGCAAGCACAGTTCATGCCTCCCACAGAGCCCAAGGGCCAGAAGGAGAGAAAAGGAAAAAAAAATTAAGCAAAACAAAACAGCGCATACCATAGGCATTTGCTATCAAGATGAAATTAGGAAAAGATAATAGTGTGATGGTCCTGCTGACAACTGCTCAGCAACTGGAATGAGGATTCTCTGAGAACTGATACAGAAGAGAGACTGTAAGTACATAATTAATTTGTCAGTAGGCACTGATGATTCCTTTAGCTATAGCAGAAATAAGGAGGATTTGTCATGTTTCCTCTGACAAATGGCCAATACTACTGAGTCTAAATAAAGCCAAAATGTAATTTCAATTAGAGCAAATGGGAGAAAAATACAAGCAATTCATCACCTCCCTGCCTTTATTTTTTTTTTTTCTTTTAAACTCTCCAATTTGACCCTAACATCTGATTTTCAGAAMTATTCCTCCTGCCTGTGGTCTGGCCATGCAGCACAGCACCATCCTGATTTCCATGATCCAGTACTCAATGAAGCTGCTCTGTGCCACAGTGATTCTGATGTGGATGATAACTCTGTGACTCATGAAGACACACAGAATTGTCTCCTGAGTCTGTCAGTGGCATCCTCTGTCTGCTCATTCTACTCCATCCTTTCACACTGCAACTGCAGCAGATTAGCTTCAGCACTCACCCACTGCTCCTTATACAAATATCCAACTCTTYCTGTATTTAAAATGATGCACTTAAATGATGTATTTAAAGTGAAGTATTTAAAATCATATATTTAAAGGCCCTGACACTTAACTCATCTTGCTTGTAAACTCCTTGTCTGTGAAAATAGAGCTACTATGTAATGTTGTATCTTACACCCTCTCATTAACGCTTGCAAGTCCTTGAAGATCCTTAACTACAACTTTCTGTTATGGGATGCATGCACATATCTAAGGAATTGGAAAAAATCAAGAAATGCTTTGGTACTGAAAATATGCAAATCATGCCTCAGCATTCAAGAAAAGCATGAAAGTGGGCTACTTTGGTCCCCGAGACAGAATTGGAGCCCTCCACTTCTTCCTGAGTAGTGCTTTTATGTAACAGAAGCTATTCAGAAACAGAAATTAAAGAGAGCACTCAGAAGGCAAATCTAATAGTACGAGATTCTTTTATTAGGAATTATACTACAAAAAGGTCTGATCATCTTTCAAATTGGCATTTGAGTATCACAAAATATACTGGATGAAGACTGACAAAGACGTCATAAATGCTTGTCCTGAACTAATTAGACAGTAAGGATTCCTCAATGCCTGATTTAAGCATTAAGTTCCTCCTCCACTAAGCTAAAAACCTTCCCTTCCCCAGCTGTTAATTTCCACGACATTGTTAACTGCTGAATTCTGTCCCAGAATGTTCTCTTCATCAGACACTGATCATTAGAATCACAGAATCACAGACWSAATTAGAYTGGAAGAGACCTCTGAGATCWTCAAATCCAGCCTATGACCAAACACCACCATGTGAACCAGACCATGGCACTGAGTGCCACATCCAGTCTTTCCTTAAGCACATCCAGGCATGGTGACTCCACCACCTTCCTGGGCAGTCCATTCCAATGTCTAATCACCCTTTCTGGGAAAAAAAATTCTTCCTCATGTCCAGCCTAATCCTCCCCTGGTGCAGCTTAAGGCTGTGTTCTCTTGTCCTGTCACKTTTTGCCTGGGAGAAGATGCCAACCCCCATCTGGCTGCAGCCTCCTTTCAGGGAGTTGTAGAGARCAATAAGGTCTCCCCTAAGCCTCTTTTTTTTCCCAGCTAAACAACCCCAGCTCCCACAGCTGCTCCTCACCACATTTGTGCTCCAGACCCTTCACCAGCTTTGCTGCCCTTCTCTGGACTYGCTCCAGCACCTCAATGTCCTTCCTGAATTGAGGAGCCCATAATTGGACACAGGACTCCAGGCGTGGCCTCACCAATGCCAAATACAGGGGAAAAATATCACTTTCCTGGTCCTTCTGGCCACAATATTTGTGACAGAGGTCAGGATGCTATTGGCCTTCTTGGCCACCTGGGCTCACACTTGGCTTCTGGTCAGCCACAGCTGACGAGCATCCCAAGGTCCTTTTCTGCTGAGCAGATTTCCAGCCACTCTGCCCCAAGCCTGTAGCACTGCAGCAGGATTGTGGCCTAAGTGCAGGACCTGCATCTTGTTAGATCTCATCCAATTGTCCTTGGCCCATCAATCCAGCCAGTCCGGACTAGAGACAGTGGATGTAAATGCTCCAACTCTACAGAAGCCTTAACAGCTTTTTGTACCATTCTTAACTCTGTTTTCTGATTGTGTCTGCCAYTGAGGTTTGCAAGGCACACTGGGGAACCATAAAGACAGATCAGCAGGTCTGTCTTGTATTTAGATSGGTATTCAGGGGCATGGATCAGGGAAATGACCTCCTTGGTGAAGCCCACCTCCCTCTGGACCCCAGGGTGATGACTGTTCCACCAACATGTTCCACTGAGCAGCAGACAGGCGCATTCCTGCCTTACCCTGCCTTTTCAGTGCTTCCAACATCCACCYACTGTTTCACACAGTTTTAGAATAAACTTATTAAAATCCTGCTGTCTATAAATTACAATGCTAAGAAAACCCCCAGGAAATCCATTTATCACAGAAATCTAGACATCTGTATTGGYTTTGCTGGCATCAAGATTAATTAATGTTTCTTTACTTCTCATCCTCTTCCAGAAACCTCATCTGTTGCTGTCTGTTCTTACCAGAACAATCCTCAAATGCAAAAAGATTGCTTTAAGGCTATGACGGATTTTTAATTAGAATGCATAAAKATCAGAATTAGAGCATAAACTCCTTACAATTCCTTTTCTGTCAGTCCCCAGACCAGTCTTCACGAACTGTTATTTGTGATTTTGTTATGGCCATCAAACTAAGTCCTGRGGGGGAGGTAGGATTTTTGATTTCATAAAACCCTTATGTATAACTTCCTTCTATCGCCCATATTTCCTCAAACAAATTTAGATGAAATAGCTCTTTTTGAAGAAGGTGTGTTACTTTGATCGAGGATACCATTCCTCAGGGTTTGATAATATCTTGAGTTTGCAGGGCTGGCAGCACCAATCAATGTATTTATCTAAGCCAACTATCAAGACCCATGTAAGTTTTATACCTGTTCATCATACAAATTCACAAATAAACTGTGATATTAACAATTACAAAAAAATAAAAGAAGCCCCACAAAACCAAGAAAACTGCATTTTGAATCATTTTAATCAGTGGCTGTCAGTGGCAGTACTTCTGTTTTTGCTGAAGTCAGGAACAAAAGCTCTGGTGATTATAACAAAGCCAGAAACACTTCCAAGAGGGGAACAACCTCATCAGCAGTTCCTCAAGATCTTGGTCTTAGCCTTATTCATATTGYACTAAAGAAATACYAAAATCATAAATATTTATTKATTTTATCATTTAAAAGGCAAAYAGAAAGGTCCACAYTCATGTTAGCTAGAAAGTTCAAACYCTCTGTATTTAAAAACACACACAGTGAAGTAAGTAGCAAGAATCCAAAACGTTTTTTCCAAACCTAACCCCTCTCTCCACCGCCATATTTTCAAAGCATATAGATTAAGTTTTAATGGTTAGGTTTACAAAAATCAGTCAGCTTTTCCTTTTCTTCAATGCTAAACTTAAATACTAAAAATCAACACTTTTTTTCTCTCAGCCATGACCTTCAGGAACTGAAATAAACAGTAAATACCTGTGTGAAGAATTTCTAGGAAACAACTGCCTTACCTTGGGATTCTGTGGTAGAAGGAGATGGCTTTGGATACCCTACAAAGGAAAAGTAGCATGTGTGATTCAGTACAYAGCAGAGTGCATTATGACCAAATATCACTGCAGTTCTCTAAAAAGCATCCCTGATTACTCTAAAGCAGTTGAGTAACAACCTACCAAAATAGCTGCTACACAGTGTCTCCTATGACATGCTCAATTTTTGTTAAACTGGGGTGGTCACAGCAAAGAGAACCAAGTTATTACTCCAATGTACTAAATCCACTGCAAGCACTATGGAAAGAAAAAATTAATTTAAGTTTCCCTAGTGGCAAAGACTGTTGTAGTTACCAGGGACTTTACATCATCTCTGTTGACYTCATGCTTTGTGCAGCCTTGGAAAGGCGACAAAACTGGCACTGAGTGTGTTTCCCCTGCTTCTGCAGCCAGCTGGAGGCTGCAGTRGCCCATTCACAAATCATCTCTGCCGCAAACCCATTCCCAGCAGCAACAGCCTCCATGGGTGTCCACAAAAGACCAAAAAGGTCTCAGCAGATCTCAGCGCCACCTCTCCAGAGAGACCTGACATATCCATTGCTCTCAGCCAGKAGTGATTCCCTCCCAGCTGGGCTCTCTCACCTGGTGCTCCAGCATAGCCCTCAGCAATGGGCATGGTGCTCTGGCCAGCCTGACCATTGGCGCTCCTAAGGCGCCCTCGTCCCGACATCAAAACCGTGCCGGGAGGYCCTGCCTCCCCGGTCTCCACGATGATCCCGGTTGATCCGGGCAGAAGGGGCACAGCTGCTGAGCCTGGCAGGGCTGGGCGCAGAGGAGGTCGCAGCTGTGGTGGCAGCAGGGGGATCCTGAGTCGCGGGGGATGTGTCCTGGGCCGCGATGGCAGCAGGGATATGCCGGGCTGCGGCTGCACCGGTGGTCTCGGTGGCAACGGCTGCTGTGGTGCTTCTGGTCGCCCTTTGAAAAGATGGAAGAAGAGGAAAAATACAGAACTATTTGCCTAAAGTAGAACATAAGATTGCACAGTTCTGCGTAATAAATACTTTAAAATAAAACAGGATTTGGTTAGAGACCACCTGTTCCCTCAGACCCAAGACTGCGCTGGCTAAACACCATTCCACTCTTGTCCTACAGACTCCACTCTGTACCAGCCTGTGTGACACAGGGGAAGGAATAAAGGCAGCCTGGAGACAGGACAAGCAGCAGTCAAATATGAATATTCATTCCATTGCTAGACCAGCTTGGCCTTTGCCCCAAGCAGACTGAGTATCACACCTATTCCCTCCAGCACCTTCATTCCAGAGCGCACTCTCTCTCTCTCTCTGCTTTCACTTCACTTCTCCTCAACCCCTCACACCCACCGAGCTCATTTTCAACTCCGTACTCACACAACTCATAGCACAAGTTGTCCCTTTAGCATGACCACAAAGAAAATTATCCACAGAAAAAAAAATCAGTAAGTGAACATGACTTAAGAGGTTTTTTCCCTTTACTTWAAAAAGCAATGAACTTAAATGTCCAAGTACTTCCATTACTAATAYTTTCTGACAATGAAGGCAGAACCCTAGGATATAATCTACCAGAAAATTCTTTAATGTTTAAATAGAAGAGATACCATTAAAAGACTTTTCCACGAGGGCAGCCAACTCATCTGACATCAGGGTTGAACAGTGCTGACATGGTTACATTTGTGTTACCTGATCAAGTCCTAAGCCCATTATAGGAATTCTGGTTTGTTCATAAAAATGAAGTCCTAGATGACACTTAAGGATGCAATGTCCTCCCAAGAGTAAGCCTAAATTACATCTACGCTAAGAACAGAAATTTACAAATGTGTAGATTTCAGCAGATGGCAGCAATGGCAGCTTTTACATAGAATAAATAGAATTTAATGCTAAATTAAACTTCATCATAGGTTACTTTGGTTGCATTTTGAGACCAAAACGTATCTTTAAATGCAGGGACGGATGTCAGATTCTGTGGAAATGGGCAAATGGAAAACGCCATCCCTTTGCAAATTTATCTGGCACAAGTAGAGGTGCTTGCCATGGTCCCCAGTGGGGACCACCTCTCTGAGGTCTCAGTGTCCACAGTGAAGCACTTCGATCCAGAACAGTCCAAAATCAGCCCAGGCAAATTCCCCAGTGGCTAGGGCTAAGTCAGCTGGCCATGCTGAAAACCAAATGTGGTGTGAGGCTTCCCCTGGCTCTGCTCTGTGCCTGAGGACCCCAGGAGAGCTTTACTCTGTGACTTTGGGCGAGAGCTTACAACAAAGCTGTGCAGGTATTGTCCCCAACACATGGCTGTGGTCCAGACAGTGTCACTGCCAGCCCACGTGCTGTTTTGTGACTACTCGACACCTGCACTTGACCCTTGTGAATCTCATTTGTTTAGAGTCTCGTAAAAGCCTCAAAAGCCCACATAAGCCTTCCAGAGCATTGGGAATCTGAAGTCATAGTCTCACACCACCTGCATTAATTCGCTAGAAATGGCTGCTAGAATAAAACCTCCCTGAGCTTTGCTGGCTTTTGACTATTAAAATTCAAACTTACACAAGCTATGCACCACAAAGCTGGGCTGAAGCWCACTCAGTGACTCTGCCCACAAGACAGATGCCTAAAGAGTGAAATGTTTGCTTTATATAGATAAAAAATATTTTCATAAAACCACTAAGATAAAAAAAATCCTACAAAAAATTTCAAAAAATGTCTCAAAGTATCAAAGTGAATTTTTTAACAGAATTATTGTCTCTGTKACATCACCTCTGTCCACAGAAGCATTGATTTAGACCTTCAACCAAAATCTTCAGATTAACATCACTGAAAAAAAAATTGACAAAATATGTTTCCTTGGAATGCATGTACTTCTCATTTCTTGAGTCAGTTATCCTGAACTTTATTAAGACAATGATTTGGGGTGACACTTGGAAAACAAACACATTTCTCTGCTTGCTTTTTTAGACCTTTAAATAACAATCAGCTGCTGAAATCCCATATCCTGACTGAACTGCTTCCTTGMATGCAACACCAATACTGCAATACTCAGAACTGTCCCATCTCCACAAAACTAAATCCAGAATCACTTGCCTAAAGCTCAACTTCAAGGGGAAGTAATTAGATATGTGTGYGTTGGGATCTGCTTTAAGTTTGTGGAACAGGCCATGAAAGAGAATCTTCCCAATCATCTTCCYATTTGTCTGGGAAGGCAAAGAACAGAGCTGAGACCATCACACAGCTGGGAACAGCAACACTGTCCTCAGCAGCAGCACCCTGGCTGCTCTGCTTGTCCTCACTGTTGTGAGTGACAATGTGGTTGCCATATCACATSTCATGCTCTCCTCAGCTCCCAAAACAMACAGAAACAAAGTSCATGAAGCAAACTAGTGAGCAAAGCAATCTGTGMCTGCTCTCACAAGAAGCCAAAAAGACCTCACTTGWATTTTGTTATAGACACCAAGGGGATTTTACAATTCCATTAGAAAGCAGAATTTTGCACAAGCTCACAGGGAGCCCAGAGGAATTGACTGTATGAYTATTCACACTACAACATTACAGTTTTATGTTGCATTTTATTGATGCTGTAATGCAGAGCACACATTTGGTTTCTTAGACCACAACTTCATCAGACAGGATCTTGCTGTTGGTTTCAAAATCCTGCTACAGAAACAACTGCTACAGGAATTGCAGGTCAGGCCAAATAACCATAACCAAAGCAAACTGCACTCCCAGCATGGTATCTGGCTGCAAGACCACTCTTTTGATTCCTGGAAAGCTTGATGGATATATATATATATATATATATATATGAATAGGCAATAAGTTAAAAGAGACCACCAACTTTAACATGGCTTCCAGTTTCATGCTGTGTGCAGAGCAAACATACCCACAGAGAGGCACAGATTGCAAGGAGAACAACTTATCCTATGAGATAYGGAGCTGGGGGAGGGCACCATTGAATGTGGATGGAAAGCTGCTGGATCATATTACTTTGGAGAGCACATTGTGCATGGCTCCCTAAACGCTTAGCGCAGACCACTGCCTGCTGTCACCACTGCCTTGTGTGTGGCAGGACATTGCCAGGAATCACAGCAAATCAAATACATTCCTGGCCTCTGGATTTGTATCTGATGCACAGTCATTAGCTAAGCTGGCTTGTTAGTTTGCATTGAGGCATTTGAAACTCCTTAATAAAAAGTATGGAAGAAAATACAGCCATATTTTTAAAATCAGGGTCATTTGACTTTGTTGGGCTTACACTCCTTGGTGAGGTTTTATGTTTTATTTCTTGCAGCATATCCTTGCCTTACTGCCCTCAACAACGTTATTAGTAACAACTCATTTCTGTTTCGGCCCCTCTGAAGTCAAATACATCATTTGAATGCTACGATACGCTGGCAAATTGTGCAAAAGAAACTCTGCACTGATCCAAGTCCAGGTCTTCCTGTCAAATAATGTCGGCATGGGAGACAATGCTGCAGATCACAGATGTAAAAATAGTTAAAGCCATACCCCAACTCACTAAACAGGGATCCCAAAATCACTTCCAAAAAAGGCTCTTCTGCCAAAAYCTTACTGCAACTCCAGCCATCAAAAGTTATTCAGGCTGCTGTGCCAGACAGTGTTATTATAATTGGAAACATTTGGGAACGGCAGTGTTTKCTTCATGAATCCTACAGAGGCCAGAGGCTCCCCAGAGCAGCAAGGGATGCTCAGAGTGCCTGCACCCCAGACCAAGCAGCAGCATCCTTCCACAGGCTTTTAACACCCAGAGGTGGATGGAGGGGCCTGCCCTGAAAAGGTGTGGAAACCCAGGTGTGCTGAGGCTTTTTAATGCTTTAATACGTGATAACAGGAGCAAATAAATGCAACCCAGGAGGTCACTTGAGCACCTGCTTCAAACAGCAGAAGGAAGATTACTACTTGTGTGTATCCTGGACCTTTCTCCAATGCTGGAGCCTAGGGCTAGTTAATTTTGGGCACAAGGAATGAGAAAGGATTATGCAGATACATCATGTTCCATTTTAACAKAGACTGGGTCTGCTTCTGCAAGATCAAGGGATAAAAGTCCTAACCCTATTGAACTTAAGTCAAAATTACAGCAAAAGAATTAGCTGAAATTCACAGACCCTCTTCACTCCACTTCCTCCTTCCTCCCTCTATTTTTTTTTATTTCACACAAAAGCTTCTCACCTCAGAAGGATTTTTCTAAGAAGTGCTGCTATACATTTTGTTTTAAACAATTAAACAAAAGAAATACATCTATCACAGGTTTTCAAGTCTCTGCCTCAAGGTGAGAAGGATATTCTTCTCTACAGAAATTAATTTGAGACCCTTCATGAGGGTCCATTCAAGAATGAACTTGTCATTCATGAACTTGTCCATTCAAGAAAGAACACTGAGGAATCTTGCATCTGATCTCTCCCAACAACCATCAGCTGCAACAGCCCACAGGCTCTTCCCTCAGCACCTCTTCTRATTTTAGGCCAGTCACAGAAATTGGCCTCTTATTTATCTCATAYGTGCACAGAATTAAAACCAGAAGCATCAACCAGCTGAGGAGCGCAGTTTCAAAACAGTCTCCGACTCCTATGATTCTGCGTCATGCTAAAAGAAACAGGAAAACAGGAACTCTGCTTCCTTCTGTAAACTTCAACACTCAGAAAAACAACCCACTGCTGAAATTWGGAGCAAGAACTGCAGAGGGCACTGAGTGGCACTGGGCAAGATCTCTAATCCTTCAAGGATTACCAGCAGGCTGAGGTTACCATTTCCCAGCGTTTTGAGCCAAAGGGAACGTGCCCTGGCTTCTCAGCTGCTCTAAYACGAACTTTAAAGCACTCATGGAGGTAGCTTTGCACCAACATGTTGGRTTACTAACAGAACTGGCTGAGGTGGTAAAACACTGCCAGTTGGAATGTGCCAACTACTGCCAATGACCTTGTGGGAATGCAAGCTTCTGGGAGAGCTATGAAGCAGAAGTCTTGTACTGCCATGCCAAGATATGCCAGAGCTCATTTGTGAAACTTCTAGATCAAAGAGTTGGTGCTGAATTATAATGATTAACTTATGCTAAGGACATAACTTTGAGGAAATATTTCTTATCATTAATTTGAATTCATTTGACTTCAGTTTTCTCCATTTACTTTTCAGTTTTCCCTGATGAAAACAGAATAATCTTGAACAACAAAACAAAAATCAAATCAAATCAAATCAACTGGAGTACTACAGACCATTATTACTTAAAACTCACTTTAAAATCACTATTCAAAAACACTGCTTTTCCCACTCTCTTTATTCTAGTTCAAAGTAAACATAAAAACATGTAAGCTTCCTTTTTTTTTTTTTTTTTTGAGGATACTTTTAAAAGCACTTGAAGTACTCTGTGGTGTTCTGGAGCAAAGAGCCAAAATAAGAGTCACTGTGAAAACAAAGTAGAAATTGTGTAATATTAAGATTTTCCTCCCTTGCTTAGTTCCTCTCTAAGAGTTTCAGAAAGGAAAGCCAGTTGAAAAACAAACAAACAAACAAACAAAGAGAAAAAAAAAAAAACCAAGAAACTTACTTGTGTCAGGCTGAGATTTCAGCATGCCTTCAATGTCTGTGGTGATTTTGGAAACCTGACTATGAAACTGTTGGACAGAGTTTTTGAGGCCAGAAATATCAGTGGAATGAGAAGCTATAGTTCCATTCATTTCACGGATGCAGTTCCATAAGCTGCTCACGTGCTTGTTCAGACCTTCTTTTATATTCTGCAAGCTGTCTGAAACAGAGTCCAGCTTGCCACAAACTTTTTCAACATGTGACACTCTGCTCTCAACATCTGAAAAACCCTCCTGGACACCTTGGGTCTTTTCTTTGCACTTGCTAAGATCATTCAGGACATGGTCATTCAATTGTTCTAGTCTCTCTTTCACTTCGCCACAGCAATTCTCATTGGAATGAGCGGTTTGATTTGCAAATGTCCTCTGCATTTGATCAATTTTTCGGAAGACACCTCGTTGTGTTTTTCTACACGTAGAATTGACACCCAGAAGCTGCTCCCTGCAGCTACTCAGGCCGTCTTGAAGGTTTTTCATRTCTTTATCAATGGCATTTAGATTGTATCGGAATACACGTACGTCTCTCTGCATTTTCTGGAGGTCACRTTGGTTACCCTTAATTAGACCGAGTTTCTCATTAAGAGAGCTATTCAGAGACTGCAGGAGAGCAGAATTATTCTCTGTTTTCAAAAGCAAGTGATTGTATTTGTCATTACAATTTTCTAGCTGTTTCTGAAGGCCCTCTGTACCTTGCGGCGCAGGCTGACATTTCTGCCCACAGAGCTGTTCAAGTGACTGCAGTTTGTCCTTCAGGAAATTCACCTCTGCTGTGAACTGCTCGTTTGCAAACCCTGCATCGCTGGGCAGGACAGGCCCAGGGTTAATAAACATTCCATCCGGGTCCGTGGTGTTGGCAATCTCCAAAATAGTGCCGCCCAGCCTAACCTCCAGGGACCGCAGCTTGTGGTCGAACAGATCTCTCAGCTCATCCACCTCAGCAGCGATGGTACTACGGAGACTTTCCTCGACATAAAAACAATGTTCTTCAGCATTTCGCTCAGTAATGTTGATCCTCGCRTCCAGCTCCTCCAGCCTCTCATCAAACACATCTTCCAGATCTGGAGTTGACAATCGAATGATTTCATTATCTATTCTGACATTCAGCATCCTCTGTGCTTCCACAATTCTGTCAATCTTCTTATCTAAATCTTTCATCTGTTGGCCAAAGTAATTTCCCTCACCCTCCTTGCAACAACTGGAGCTGTTTGATGATATCTGAGTCCGGAGARTATTTATTTCTTTCCTCAAGTCATTCTCTTTTCCTCTTATCACATCAATTAGCCCCACACAGTTATTTTCATTGTCATCATACTGCTGCTGAATATCCTCTAGTTTGTAGTCACAGGAGCTCTTCAGATCTGCCAGTCTCCTTTCAAATCCTTCCATTATTTCTTGCCTGAGGGACTCAAATTTTGAGTCTATATAGTCCTGATAGATATTGTCACGTGGCATTGTTATTGTAGGTCCTCGGGCTGCCTCCTGCAGTTGTTTTAGTTGTCCTTCATAGCCTTTTACTTTTCCATTCAGTTCCTCCAGCTCATCATTCCTCATCTTCAAGGCTTCTTTGACCTCAGCTAGCTCAGATTTTATATCTTCCATTTCAAAATCAATAAAAGGGTCTTTTTGATCTTTATTGCTGACCAGTCCTGGCAGCTGAATGGTGTCTGTTTCGCCACCAACTGCGCTGTCAGGCTCTGGGCGGTCATAAAGGTTGTTCAGCCAAGTGACCAACATCTTGCTGGCATCCTCTTGCACAGTCAGCTTYAGGTTTTCATTCACACCTGCCACGGAGGACTGAAGCTCAATCACAGACCGTGTAAGTCTAAACAATTCGTCCTCAAGAAACTGCATTCTCTTCTCATAYGGTGGAGGCTCTGGCGCTTCTGTTGGTTCTGCATCTGTTCCCCAGAAATAACAAAGTCTGGATGTAAATATTCCCAGTGGTATCTGTTTTAATCAGCTGCACTTCACTTTTCTTTAAAATTAAATAATGATTTAAACTGCCTAATGCTTGTTGCATTTCTGTTCTTATTTTCAGACATTTATAATGTATACATTATCAAAACCCTCAGAACTAAAACTTTTAGCCCAGTGAGCAATTCCTGCCAAGATACAGGAGCAGTAARTAACCTGGCAAGAGAATCACCCTTCTTGTTCAGCAATGGATCCAAGCTACAGCATATATGACAGACCATTATAGACACATACACATCACAGCACAATCACCTTGGAACCACTGCATCTCCTACAACAATGATTTGTCCCTGAATTCCCACCGAAAACTTCAGTGGCAGTCATTTATGTGCCTGAAGTGGGTTTGGGCTCCGGAATTTTACTGAACTGGGGTCCAAATATACATMCCATAAATGACATGAGTTCTGCAAGATACTCCAGTTATCACATTTGCTTCACAAATCTTTAATTATTTGAGATATATTTAAGTAGGCAATAAAAATATGTACGAAAGCATTAGATTTACAYATCCAAAACTGTTGGAATAAAATAACTTATCCTCACTGAATGAAAATCAAAAAGTGAAGACTTYGACTTTTAGCTGCAATCTCTTTTTTACCTATCATAAATCAATTAATGAATCTGAATCTTGTCATTAGTAGCACTTCTTTTGCAGAGCCACATACAAATCTGGATGTTCAGTTTTTGGCAAAATGTGTAACAATTGCAGAAAATCCAGAACGAAAAAACCTCAGACATTTTCAGAGGTCAAGAAAGGATAAACTGCTGGAAAAGTCAAAAGTAATTTGTAATTTTTAATTTTGTCTAGAAGACAGGAGAATGATACAGATATCACCATATTTTATTAACATCTTTTGGATTAATATTTTAGGTCGACTAAGAAAATATTTAAAAATCTTGTTTTTAAAGCAGGTATATCATCTGTAGGACTAGTTTGAAACCATGTATTCCATGTATTGAAACCAATACATTCCACTACACAGAAAATACATGTGGAAATCTGACTAAGTGCTATATGTGACACTAATCTCCAATTATGTTGCAAAAATCCTTCAAAAGGAAACATCTGTTTATTATTTTTTCTTAATGAAGAAAAGGCATAATATGGCAGTAACAGCATTACTTCTTGCCCTTTCAGAAGACAGTATCTTACACAAATAAACATCATGCACTCTTTAAGACACTTTTTCAGAAGTTGAGGCTCATCCTTACTTAGTCCCTTACTCCTATCAAGGCAGGTAACATGAATGTGTAAAATCTGCACTCTTCAACAAAACATTTTGAAACTATTAGAGACCCTTTATATATCATTAAAATTAGAAACTGGGTTTTTCTTTTTTTAATAATAGTTCTTCTTAAATATATCTTTTTCTTTCTTTCCTCCTGAACATTGGAGAAACCACCTAAAAAACCCCCTGTAAATTCTTACAAAAACCACAGTCTTAACACAAAAATTTTCTGAGCCATGAGTAGCCAGCTGGCATTTCCAGCCATTGTTCTACAGCCCATTCCTCTGTTACTCTTCAGGAAATTCTCTGTATCAAGACTGCCATTGCCTGGCTATTATTTTCCCACCACACAGAGATTTTTGTACCTGCCAGTAGTTGAGTTTAATAGAAGCCACAATGATTCTTATCCTTAGAAGACAAAACAAGAAACCAGACGTGATCATGCATATCAAAATTCAAACAAAAGGCTACCTGTGGCTTTCTTCACAGCAGCTCTTGCTGGTGTTGCGGGACGACGAGCGGTGTTTGGCTTTTCTGCTGGTCCTTCCCTGCAGTCCTCCCCTCTGTAGCCAGGACAACACCTCCATTCCAGCTCTGTCACTGTCTTATAGGCAACAGTGTAYCGAGGTCTGAAACTCGTTCGGTATCTGCCAAAACAGGAAGTATTTTAAACAATCCCTAACCTAAGCTGCTATTTRAAGTTAAAATTAAAATAGGTTTGGGYATTTTTTATAATGAAAATCAAATAATTACATMTACRATKARTTTTCTGCTTCAAACATGGAATGGRAAAATGTTTCTGCATARGTTTTAATGTTGCCTCCACTAAAGACAGTCATGACAGGGAGCCATGGAATAGGGGCTTTCATGTATGAGCAGAGGGAYAAAATGTGGCAAGGGAAGGCTCAACTCATCAGACACCGCTGAGAGTAACAGTGACCRCCAGTGTGTATAAATTCAAAACATTTTTCCTCTAATTTTCATTGCAGCCCTCCCCCCAGGGCTCTTCTGAACATCACAAAATGTTTCTGCCTGTTTCATCCCACTGGCATTTCCACAGTCTCCACTTAAAACGTTCCTCAGAACCCATATGTATGGAGCAGTCAAAGCTGGGAGGGATATTCCAAAGAAGGACAGAATGCTGGAAGTGTGAGTCAGACAAGGACAGGAAAGCAGGAATCAGATGAAATGCAAAGAAAAGAACTCTTTCCCACTTCATCAGCTAAGCTGAAGAGGGTCTGGCAGACAAAACCATATATCCATTATGGATATATAACCTTGAACTACCTTGATTAATTACTTGAATGTTAATAAATGAGAAACTGATTCTGGTKGTGCAACCTTCTTAAACCATAGACTTCTTCCATAACTTGCCTTCAAACACATCCCACATGTCCAGCTGTGGTCAGACACTGTGGTATYCCACCAGGCCATAAGCAAAGGCTTTGCTATTGGATAAAAACTAAATCAATTTAAGGTACAGCTCATTTTGGGTTGAGAGATGAGGAAAATTATTAAAGCAGGGATTTGCCATCTGAGCTCTATAAAATGTTATTCTTGGAATACACTGAAACAAAAAAAAGTCATCCCAATTTCCCACATGAATTCCTTTCTCTGAGTAAAACTTGCATCACGCTATTAATCCCACTGTTGCTTTTTCAGATAATTTTTCCTTAAGATTATTTCTGATTAGAACAGCAGTTGGCATCCATAAATGAATGACAGGYTCATTTCACAGGTGAGGTGTCCCTGAGCAGTAACATCAGCAGAATAAACACAGGACAGCACCAAAGGGCCCTACAGGAGCTCTGAAATGMATTTCAGCCATAGCCTGGCTGGGCTCACAGTGGGTGAGTGTATCCTGGGACAGAGAGAATACAGAACAGCACCAGAAGCAGCCACTCCATCACACACAAATCACTTATTTCATTGAACATGGCCTTGTATTATTATGCAAATTTCCTTATTGGTCAAAAAAAAAAAAAAAAAATCAGTAATCACATACCAAATGGAAAGAAGTAAATCTTACCCAGACCATGAAATATTTCCTACTGAAAGTCACAGAGTGAGAGTTAACTTATTGTCACCGTTCAAAGCATCCACTTGCAAATAGTTGCTGAAATAATTCTAACTTTATTTTATTCAGCATATTTCAGACACATATTTTTAATATAATGTCCCACATCTGACAGCCATTTGCTATCCATTTTTGGGAAGCTTGTTAACAAACTTGCGGTGGTGTCCTTACAATATTAACTACTAATTAGCCATGTGTTACTTTTCCAACTTGTTCCTTTGTATCTTTCCCTGTTCTGCCACAATATATCCTAATTTCTGCACTTGGGAAATACTCAGGGTTGTTTTTCATTATCACTTTGTCTACAACTTTTCATCTAAGGGGGAAAAGCTACTTTCACTGGAGAAAATGTCCTTTTTTCCCCAACTATTTCTGGGCCAAGAGTTTATTTATTCTAATAAGAATAAATAGATAAGATAAGAATCTCTGGATTCCCTTCTTCTGTGAATCTGCACAAGAAGGCAGGGCAAGCTGTGCTGTATCTCTGTCTGTGAGCTGCTCACAACTGCAGTGGTTTGCTGTGGCTGTCAGCTTTTCAGACTGACTGGGAGCAGTCAAACTCAGAGAGGGTTTCCAATCCATTTTTACCTTTTGAACACCATATATGAAACAGCTGAACACTGCACTCCAGCCCATCATTTCTTCTACAACTTTCACTTAAACATCTGCTGAATCCTGTTTACAAAGCACAGAAATCCCCAAGGTCAAGTGCTTTAAAAATTAAATAGAGGAGTGCAATGTAGAGGGAAGAACACCATTGGGAAGAACAATATCCTGGCCACCCAGGAACTTCCTTTTCCTCCTGCCTTATCTAAAGTATTAAACTACATCTTGTGCAGATAATTTGGGTTTGAATCCTTTCCTTCCAGCTAGCTGCCAGACTCAGGAGAACAGGATTAGCTAGATGCTTTAGTGTTATGAAGTGTTTTTGAGAGTCATTACAACCTCTCTCACAACCACCACATTATTGAAATGCAAACTTTGAACTTCCAGATCCATTTTCACGTGCCGGAAATGGTTGTACATACTTCTGTATGATTTCCATAAAACACTTAACTGCTCCTAACTTTGTGTGTTCCTCTTTTTACTTTGAGGGCCAAACCCYTTCCTGAAAATTATGGTATTTTGGTTATTTTCAAATGACACATCTYTCTTTTTTCTTAACCAAGTTTTAAGAATATAGCTGAAACAAATTTTATAAAATTAATAAGAACTACTTATGTACAAATTATGCACTTTTCCACTCAAATGATAGAACAAGGATTTTCTATAACATTTTTGATAATTTTCTCTTTGAACACCTTCTCTGTGGTCATATTCATCAACACAGACAGCTCCAGATGACTTCAACAGCCAGACAAATCATAAGACACAGTCAAATACAAAAGAATACAAACAAATAAAAAGAAATCAAGCTTAATATTTTTCCTATGTCAAAAATTTAGTATTTTTCCCAACTTCATCTCTAAAAAACAAGCATATTTGACATTCTAAATCTTTTTTTATAGTTTCTTTACCCTAACAGGCATAAAATGCTTAAATACAATTTATTTAAAAATTATTTGAAATGCAGAATTCTCACACTTCAAATTATAAAATATAAACACTGCATATCTACAACTTCTAAAAATGTTGTAGCAGTCCACTTCTTACAAATTCTTGCAAGCTTGAGAACTCAAGCAAATGCACAAATTTGGGATCTGGTTTGTTTTCAGATATGGTACATCAAATACAGATTAAACTGAATCCTGAACCACAATTCTCTTAGAGCAAAAATAAGCTAGACTCAGAACATGTAAAAATCTGGATCTAGAACAGCTTTCATATTTCACARTTTGCACTATGGTAACAAGACAGTTGTACTCATGGATGGCTCAGGAATTCAATCAGGATTTACTTACCATGCACTGCTTCCCTGTACTGCCAGTCCAGTACTGAATGAATCATGGAGCTACTCCCATTTCCTTCAGGAAATGTAAGTAAGGCTGGGAAACAGGAACTTACACTTCTCTAATTTGAAACCAGTCACATAAAAATTTCTTTAAAATCACAGCTTCATCACCACAGCCTCTCCACCAATGATACTGTTCATGCCCAACTGCTGTGCAAGTTGCCCATGCAAGGAATGGTGTCACTGTGACAGCACCGTCCAGCTGCACTGACAAATGACAGCCACCAGCCTGCTTCCAGCCCCAGGGAGATTCTCATCATACAAGATGCTTTTTAAAGCCAGAACTTTGCTCACTCGGTGAATATCAGTGGAGGAGCTAGAGACTTCCAGGATTTTGCTAGGATATAGCTGCCTGACAGCACTGAATACAATTATATCGTTAGTTCCAGTTCTAACAAAACAAATCACAGCTTTCTGCTAGGGACTGCATCCTGAGAATAATCTGTGATTATATGTMTGGGAAAAACACAAGACTGGGAATTACCAAAACAAACAAATTAGACATCTTTATTTAAATCTGAGTATTCTGAATCCAATTATTCACCCATAGTCACAGCAAACTGTGAAAAAATGAAATATACAACCACAAACATACAAAACACACGAAAGGCACTCAGTGTACCCAGAGAGACAAAATGTTGCTTCTCTGTGAAGCTGGATAGAGATCCATGGTYGGAATGTATCATCAGCTTCACTTTGTTTATCTGGCAGGTGTGAATCTTTACTGAGTTATCTAGTGAGGCAACTTTTGTCAAAAGGGTCCACAAAAGTTTTCTAAGTACCTTAAAAATTGAGGCTCCACTTTTCTATGTGTATATGCTGCAATGCAATTAAAAAATAGTAAAAATCAAATCTTCCTCTGGTTGACTTGGATTTCTGCTGTTCAAATAACTATTAATAAAAACAATTATTTTAAAAAGTATGTCTCACAGCTATTTTAAAAAACATGTGGCTATGTGGATAGAAGTTACATGTAACTCAACAGCAGTAACTGTGCCTGGTCACCCCACTGTCCTGTGGACTTCCAGTCCATGATGATGGTCACAAGTTCTTGATGAATTGAACTAAATACTGCAATTGAAATCATTATTTTATAAAGCATGAATAAAGGTTTTTAACTGTCTCTAATCTTTCCTCGCTACATAGAACATAAGAACAGCTGTTTCTTAGGAGTTTTTCCACAACAGGCTTGTAACTACCCACGCCTACTACCTTCACCATGAACTCAACATGCTGATCAAATGAGAAAACACATCCAGAACACTAATACAGATCTCCACTTTTAATATCTTATGTGTTTCACAGCTGAAATTGAGTCATACAGGCTGACAATAGCACTGAAATATTCCTCCTCTTTGAGAGAGAAGTACTTCCATAGGAAAACACTTAATTAAAAATTCATGTTTGCTGCAAATGCTAGACATTTTGACTAGGCAATGAGCTATAATATTCTCATGGTGCTAAACCACAGAAGGAAACAGTTARCACTGATATTTGGAATGTCACCTAATAGCGATAAAAGAAATCAGAAACATTTGGATGGAACTGGTGGGAAAACATATGGCTCARCTCTGTAACTAGATATTAACATTCAACCTTTTGGGAAACGCAATGAGATA